TATCAAAACGCCTGCCATTTGTTATAAATAAATAAATAATATATGTTTTCCCTCCAATGTGCATACGTGTTTCCTAATGAATGAAAGGGCTTTGACTTTGATATTGAAATGGTTTGACTATAGCTAACTACTTAAATAGTGTATAAACATGACTAAGTATACAGTGCAGCAAGCATGCGTGCTAGCATCAATCCTTTTAAACGGGAAAAAAGTCAACGCTCAAAACTGCTACAATCTAAGCTATATTACCCTTAAAATTATTACTATTTTTTCCCAAATACACGCACTCAAATACTAAATCTTCCTTTGAATTATCAGATTCCAAGATGAATTGAAGTAACGCGAAAACGGTGCTATTTTGAACTGTCAATATTTGCTGAAAAGAAAGCCATGTTTAGCACTATCGAAAAGATCGGTGTTCCTCGGGAGGAATGATCGGTATCAAATTTATGGTTATTTAAGTCTAATAAAAGAACAAGGAAGTTTGAACGGGCACCTATCAGGGCGTCGTCCTTAGTGAGATCCACTTCAAAATGTAGATCAGCAGAAGAGAGGGCTTAAGTATCCGGATCCTCAGGAACCAAATTCATCTACTCTTTCCAAAAATTGTTCACCTCAGCTATAGTCCTGCATCCACTTGGTCTATTAGCATATTACATAGTATCCTTCTTAATAAACAGACACGTATGGTACATAAGGAACGAATTTCGGTCACATAATTGGTCTGAATTGCGCTTAGAAAATGCTAGACTTTGAGCAGTAAGGATTATCCAATATATGCTAAAGGTAACATTCGTTTTCAATTATTTCCAACGCTTGCTATGCCACACATCTAGACGTATATTACTACAATGAATGAACCTCATTAAGTAGCAGCTAAAAAGGCATGTATTCCAACATACCCCTAGATACTCCTTGTAGAACTCCGCAGTCATAGGACACCATACTTCAGCACACTGAACTCGAGCAATAAATCCTCGTTTTTGTAATTCCAACCAATTTGCCTCGTAAATCTTCGGCCCGATAAGGAAGTTGAGATCAGTAATCTTATTATCTTCACGAACCAGAGTGGCAGTTAAGCCAAGCTTACAATGCGCTTGAACCATAGTGAGTACACGACGGAACATCTTGGCAGGAATCGTATGTACCTCATCCAGCACCATCAGTCCCCATTCTTGACCTTTGATCCATTGCATTAGTCGTTCGGCCTCGTAAGATCGCCTGCCTGAAAAGGCAATCATAGAGTAAGTTGAAATACATATGCAGGTGCTAGGTGAAGGTCTGTCGCGTGCGTCGGACATGAAACGCAGGATTTGACTGTCTTCGGCTGTAGACCAGAGTTTGAACTGGTTTCTCCACTGCTCGACAGCTACACCACTAGTGCAGAGACATAAAGTCGGTTTGCGAACAGTACAGGCTGCTGTCACGCCAACCTAAAGTGCGATGGAATCAAAATGAAGAGTAAGTCAAACCGATTTATAGATATGAAAAAGTCTAAACTTTGGCTGTTTATATTCTATTCACATAAAACAAGTGCAGCAGTACAAATAACATTTCAGAACCTATATTTTAGGTTACTATGCGGATATATCGTAGAAATGGATGTATTCGATGCTCTGAATGGATTCCATAAAATTACGGATTGGGTCACTCGGCTCTAATTCTCAAGGTTGAAAATGAAGCCTCAGCACTGCTACATTATTGGCTAATTAGGTAGCCAATCGAAATTATAAGCCATATTGGTTAAATTGCCTTCTTACTGTTATTTGGTCATAGCAGTTAGAGATATGGTATTATATTTTATTGTATGGGGTGCGCGATAGACTTACCTCCACGTGGTGCACCCTGGGCAACGTATACACATACGGCAAAAAAGTCTATTAACTGGCAGTTGACTTCTGATTTCAAACTACAATCACCCCACTGTATGTTATATTCGACTACCTCCACAGTACTCACCTCACCTTACCTTTTCTCTACCTTTGTGTCTGTCTCTTTCATATCTTATAAACACTCTCCTGCCCACCTCTCGACTTTTTTCACTTTGATGTTCCTTCCCCTCTGTAAAGCCTGAAGTTAACTAAAGGGCTAATGATAACTATCCAAACGCCTGCCATTTGATATAAATAAATATTGTATTGTATTAGCAATTAGACTATTATTTAGCTTAATTGATAAGAGACTGATCATTTAATTTTACTCACACCAACGCCTTATTTAAATGGAACCAGATTAAGCTAACAGCTAAATAAAATGTGAATTGCGAAGGAAGCTATTCCTAAACAGACAGAATAATCCCTTGAAACCTTATTATAAGAACCTCCCGTATCCGCTACATTTCAGTTTTCAACCAGGGGTCAATGATGTAGATACCATCAATCCTTACCTGATTCACAGAATGGGTAATCACAATGGTAAAGTCTGGCTAATAATGGGGGGAGCAAAACCAGTCCCACACTAAGAGGAGGCTCCATGACACCAATTCGGGCCAAGATCGAGTTCTTAAATGGGCTTTAAAACCACTTGTTACGCCAAAGTTGAAATAATAATTCAAAGTAGTCTCCAATAGACAAGCGAATATTGGAGTGGTAAAAAATGAGACTTACCAAAGTTTTACCAGCACCACAGGGAAGAACAATGACCCCGGATCTAGCTCGTCCATTTCCGAACATTTTACGGAGACTCTTCTCTTGATAGGGCCTAAGTGTTGTACTCGCCTTGAGATCAACACTCATATCCTTATTGACTTTATCTCGACGAAAATCGTATTCAGCAAGCAAGGGTACCTCCAGCTCAACACAGCGCCTCTGCAGGCGTTCGATTTCATCTTGGATCACTTCGATAGCGTAGGTTGCAGCTCCGGAGGATTTTCCGCCTTCTTCACCTTGAATTTTGTCACCTGCGTTACATTCGGGGAGATCAACTAACTCTCCTTCATTGTCACCAGCTGCAACTTCAAGACCGATTTGCTTTATGCTTAGCATTTCTGCATCGCCAGCTATATAAAACAAAGGTAGTTGACAAACAGCAAGAGACGGGATACAGAACTAATGAACTATCCATTTGTGCAAGTCAATAAGATTGATGCCTAACAATCAAACGAAATTCTCCTTGAACAATAGAGGCTTTATGTCAAATACCGAAGATGTTACTACTGAAGAATTGGAAATAAACTGGCCAAGCTCTGTTACTAATAAATGATTTACAACAAGGTATTCAATAATGGAAACAGTAGTTAAGGAGTAAATGAGGTTTCAAACACGTTTTCTGGTTTCTTTTCGTGCTTTCTTGATGGGAGAATCTGCGGAAGATGCTTTGCAACTTACCAATCAAAGACAGCAACCATAAAAAAGTTCCCATAACAGGCACTGTACAAAGGTCAGAATCGAACAGAATTGATGATAGGAAGGTGGAGATCAGCTTTCAAAACCAAAGTGCGCTCATTATTCCGAAATTAAAATCAAGAAAGAGGTAAGATAAGAGGTCAGGAAGAGAGTAGGAGCTGCCAGGCAACCGCTTTAATCAATAGAGTCAAACCACCGTATGAATTATGGGAAGCTTTTAAGAGGACAAAGGGGAATAAATGAAGTGGAAGTCAATTGAATAACCTATTCAGTTACTGATTGGACAACGAAGAGCTTAGTACACTTATGGACACAAATTCGTAATGAGGTGGGAATCCCTCTTTCCACCTGGAAAATTAGTGAAAATTTGATCAAAGTGGACAATTAAAAATCTTGAGAAGTGGTAGCCTTTAGTAAAGGCTGTTCTTCATTTAAGATAAAGGGAATTAATTTATGCAAAAGATAAGTGGGGACTACAAAGTCCATAAAGTTATCGTTCCATATAGAGATAAACTCTGTTAATTTTTTCATTAGCTTCAAATTCAACGGATTTTACTGTTTAGCCACACCGAGTATACCAAGATGAATCTATATTTATATTTTAAAACGCTTCAAAATTCAATAGTAGGTCAGAGGTCATTGGTCCGAAACTCATCAGGTCTCATTTCAAGTTAACGTTAGTTGCCACTGGATAATTAGAAGTACAATGAGTCGATGAAAACACAGGACCCATGACTAATTCAAATACAACCCATTAATGATTTAGACGAAACTAGTCATTGTAGCAAGACACTGCTTCTCTTGTGTGCGTTTCAATATTTCTTACTCCATCTCCCCATCTTTTTAATTGCATAGGCCTTTTATGCTCTTTTATTCTATCCTACTTTTACTTATGCCACAACATGGCCCGTCACACGGTCAAATTTTTGTCTGGAAGTCTCTAGAAGAGAAGAGAGAATGCTATAAAACTTCCATCTGGCGATTCAATGTGTTCACAAGGAATCAGAGATGCCCCAAGCAAAATAGAAGTGCAAAGTTACCCCTTCATAGTTAATACATTCTAGCTGAACGACACACCAGCATAAAATAAGAGATATCTAAGAGGAGGATTCGTAAAAATAGTTTCAATATCTAAACCCGCAAACAGGGGTAATATTACAAGCATGAAAATTTGATAAGTGAATAGTTAAAATAAATGACGTGTTGTCGACACATTGTTCAAAGTGTAGGTACACTATCCGAGGTCAGGAATTCAATTCCTATTGGAGCAAACTCAGTGAAAAGAATAACCGCCGCTTCTGGTAAAGTTTTAACCATGATGAGAAAAGAAATCGACTTCCGAAATAGGCTAGCAAATTATATATATATATATATATATATATATATATATATATATATATATATATATATATATATATAATATACAACAATCTAAATAGCCCGAACCCACCTAGAATAAGTGCTTTACAAAACTGTTTTGGGTAGTGGTAAAACCATGGAGTCCTTCCACTGATGAGGAACACGAACCCCCTCCATCTCCTTGCTGGCTAATTCCAATCAATGACAGGTTATGAACATGAATTGAAACCAATTTCATAATCCCAGACTTTGAAAAAGAGTAAATGAATCAATTTAAACGTCACGAAATATAATAAAGTGATTTACCAACGTCAACGTAATCATCTTTCGGTTCCGCAGCAGCTTCAGCCTGTTCTTGTTCTTCCTCTTCAGCATCAATATCGGCATACAACTTCAAGATATCCTTCAGCCCACCATCTGATTCTGCCTGATTACTCTCCGACGACGGACCGGTGGAAGTACCATCCGAATTTTTCGAGTTATCTTTCATTTCAATTCCAAGGGCAAGAATTGCGTCCGAAGATTCAAATTTGTGCACAGTCACTTCAGAAAGACCTTCAGTAGTTGGAGTATTCAAAAGACATTCCCTTATTTCTCTATCAGCAATTAATGTCTTCAAAAAAGCTCGTTGATTGCTCTCCACGTAAAAATGTCCACCTCTAAGTACCAACTTCGCTTTTCCGTAGGAAAGGGTACATGAACGAATATACTCGATTATAGATTGGGGAAGATCAGATTTGCAAAGACGCCGTAGGCAGCCAATGATCTCACTAGTACGAAGACCGACGGAAACTGCAGCATAAAGAGAATAAGAGGTCAGTTTATACTCATGAATATGTTCAGGGCGGCATACAGGCTCTGAAATTGCGATGAGAAAGTCCTGTGCGAGATTTGAGATTGGATTAAAAGTTTCCATATATATATGGGCAGACGGCGTAACCCAAATTGGTCGAGATGCTTGATCAAGTCTCAATTTTAAGATAGACCGCAGATCAACGGCAGAAAACTCATCGAGGTCATTAGAGCTGATAGGTTTTCCTTTAGAATCTCGACTAAAATACTCCTCCTCCGAGGAATAAGAAGCTCTGGAGGCATTATCAAAATCTTCATCTAGGTAGGTAGCACTTAGACTATCGTTGCTAGCATCATTATCACTAAAGTTTGGCTGACTCATTGGAGTACCATCGAGCCGAGGGCGCTTACTTGAATTTCGAGAAAACCTGCGTCCACTCCTCTTTTCAACTTTCGGCATTTTCTGAAGTATAAGATTAATAAAAAACACGGATTTAATATAAATAAAAAATTAGAAATATATCTTTTCAGATAAAAGTAACACAAGTCTTACAGAAGAAGAGTATCTCACTGGTTAATTTACTGACTAGTTTGCATATTGCAAATTGATAGGAGCGTAATCAAAGTCAAGTTCTGAAAATTTAATTTTTCAATATAATTAAACTATATCTATAAATCTAACATATTTAAGATTTTAAGATTTAATAGATGGTTTTTAATAGTATATTTTTGGTTTAGTTTAAAGATTACATATATTGCTGAATAATAGCCAGATATCAAAATTCCTTAATAATTCCATTACAAAAACAAAAGTTAACGTAGATTTCAAAATGTTTTAAAGCTCTCAAAATTTTATGTTTTGGTTTGTTTACTTCGAAATATATATGAACTTTATTCTTGGTCATAATAAAAGACTACCCAAACACACAAATTGGCTTTTATTTGAATAAAGTGGGTAGCTCAACAATTTTATATTTAGGAAAAGTAAGGTATAATTTACACTTCAAAACGATTCCATTTTGCAAATTGTTCCTATACACACCTCAATGACCAAAAATGCGTCAGGAGACAGCTTGAGATGGAAAACTCATATTCATTTCCCATTTTATGAAGCAAACATTTTCGCTTTATTGTTGTTTTCTGATTGCATTTTTAAGTGTTAGATGGTAACAAACTTCTGATCATGCCAATCAATAGCTCAGACCACCTATTCCACCAGATGATTTTAAAACGTATTGTGAAAAGCAGGATTCCACAAATCCAGATAAGCTCAAATCTTCTCCCCTAAGGACAACATTGTGCAACTCTCAACCAGCTTCTTTACAGGCTATTTCCAACTGAATGGAATGTTCTCAAATGCTTAGCCCAAGAAAGCCTTTTGCAGAAAATGACACAATTTGTATTTGCTTCCCTTGTTAGTGGAAGATCCATACTCAATACGATATGACCTTGTAATGGAATGAATTAAATGAAGATAAAGTAAAGATGTGTCAGCATTTCTCTCAACTCCTGATTAAGTGACAAGCATTTTTTCTGTTATGTTTTTTGAAACCTCACGAGACGCTTGTGCACCTAGATGTTTTTTACGTTGTTTAAAGTGCAACAGTGACAATCTGATTGTATTTTTTTAGATATTAGGGTAGGCACTTATTTGAAAGTTGTTAGCTGAGTCTGATCACAAACGGGTGAACACTTTGTCTCAGTACTTGGAATATTAGAGGTGTCGTGGAAATCAAATCACGAGTGCTATTGGCTGCTGACCGCTTCAATTACCTCCTTCCCACCCATCCTAAAAATGCTATCTTTTATCGATTAATAAAACCGTGACCATTAGAATTTCTTTTAATTTTAAGTTGTCCTTATTCTGTGCCGTCATTTCATTCATTCTTTTCTAATATATAACTTTGTGCTGGATAGCCCTCAACCCNTCCCCCCCCCCCCCCCCCCCCCCCCCCACCACCACCACCCCACCACCCAAATTTAGTCACTCTTTCAGTGGCGTAATGCACGTGATCATGTGCACAGGACATTTACTAAGTTGACATTAGTAATCACCGAGTTGTGCCATTCAACTCCATAAGTTCCACAAAAGTCAAAAAGGTGTTAATCACTTTAAGATTACAAAATGAGATCGAAGTAGAAATAATAAATGCTCATTTCCTTCATGTGATTTGGACTTCAAATCATTGTGTTCATGACAGTGGTCAAAGTTTGTCTGCTTCCTTTTAGTATTGTAAAACAATCACTCGCAATCATACGAACGCACTGCCTTTTTTATCTATTACAGCTGCAACAACTGCGTATTGCTTAAGTCAACTTAGTTTGCAACATTCAATTCTAGTGCTGCTAATTTTTTAAGAAAATTTGTGACGGCAATTAATTTATCAGTGATCTTAGAAATTTCAATACTCAACACTTCCCGTCTTTTATTCACAGGCTCCGAAAATAAAATTAGGGTTTTAGAAATTGATAATAATTCCCTTCATTTCATTCTCTCCTTTATTATTATACTTTCTTAATTCTACCATTGTCTGAGATTAATGCATTTTAATAAAGCCTAATTTAAAAGTATGAGTAGGATTAATCCACAAATTTTATGTCTCAGGGTCAGTTTAATTTGAAATCTGGTTTTATTGATATTTACTCCCCTCCAAATAACGGCTGTGAAACATTCCAAGATATTACTTTATTTATTTATTTGTTTATTTATTATGAAAGGGTTGGGTTATAATTTTCAACACTTACGGTTGTGAGCCATGCGAAGTTACTGAGCCCGTCCGAAGGAACTGCGAGTTTTTCAAAAATGCCTTCTATTTAACTTTTATTAGTAGTAAGGCTTAATGTATTAAAAATTGGATAATATATTTCTGGTGAGTATCTAACCGCCAACTATCTAACCTCTTGATAGCAAATTCACCTGACTCCACTAAAAAGCATATTTGCAATGGTAAAAATTATATTTTGATGTTTTGATGTAACTTCAGGAGTTGGGATGATTACCTGATCTGTGTTAAGCCTTTGAAAGGCATTATACACGTTGAAAGTAATGAAGATAACAATCAACTCATCCCATATGGGTGCACGTCTAAATGCCTAGTGGAACAGTCAACCAAACACAGAGGAGAACAATGGTCCTTCCTGGGGGCAAGGGAATTAAAATGATTGTTAGCTAGAGGTTTTGTGGTTAACATTTCAAACTTCAATTGATCAACTGATCTCATGTCCTTGGTCAATATTTTTTAATCGATAAGATAATCTTTAATAGAGACTTATTTAGAAGAGACTTTCTTTACGTTCAATCGAACGCTTGTTAAGACCTACACACTGCCCTACCCTCATTATGATTTTATTGGCTCTCCGTCTGACTGCTCAAAGGATGCAAAGTAGTCAAATCTTTTGAGTACACTATGACTCTGCTTCTTCATCATAAATAGGTTTCCACTAAAGCTTTATTCCTTACCTTCCGAATTTCCAAATATTCATTTCACTTCTCCTCTTTTCTAGTAGTCCTTTCTCCTGTCCAAAGCAGAGCTTAACTCTTAGTCTCTTCGTCACTGAAAGGCTAGTGTGTCCTCGTTACAAGTGAGAAGGTTATTAGTTTTTTAAAGGGGTACTTTTGAGCCTGATTTGGTAGCACTCCCAAGGTGTCTTTGCTGACTGTATTTGTGCTAGTTTTAAGAGCTACATTCGTTCACTAATTAGTCTCAGGGATATTGCAACTCAACACAAGTTGTCAAATAACATCCATCAAAAGCCGAATTCGATCTGAAGTTGTTCATGAAAGATTAGTTAATTATGAGACTAATGCAATACACATTAATAAAGCTTCCAAAACCGCTTTCCATTCTACTTTTTTTATATTTCTGCACGATAATGACATTCCTGTTTCTTACATTTGTGCATTTGGACCTATGAAAGTCTAAAGATGTAGTTTTAGGAAACAATCCTAAATATTTACATACAATCTTTCTCAATCTTTTTATGATATAAAATAGAGGGAATATTAAAGTTTCTTCTTTTCTGGGGGGCGTCATTACGACTTTTTAAAGAAATCCATTTGCACATTATTGATCAGTTCTGCTATATCCTTTATCCGTGAAATTAACAACAACATTTACAAAACTAGCTTGGACAGTCTGTGGCAATGCTTTTGGAAGAGCGCACTTTTAAACTTCAATTAAATAGGCAACAATAAGAATGATTTAACAACAACATCCATTAAATTATAACTCAAGGTCGAATGACTGTGAATCGCATGATTATTTCATTTATTTTAAAGTATAATAGGCTATATATACCACATTTTGCCAACCTCGTAAGCATAGGGAAAATAGCAAGTCTTACTCAGCATCCTAAGCAAAAACAAAGGGTTCTTGAAATTTTTCTACATCATGTTTGTTATCGATATCACCAGTTTCCACTTTGAATCTACCAACTTCGTCAGGCCCCATTTTAAAGGGAAATACGAGCTTTTCGCATTTTCAATAAAAAATCGATTTCTACGGTATTTGATTGCAACGAACAAGGCCTATGTAATATTCGGCAAGAAAATGAAGTACACTGAATGATTGGGAAAACATGGAGATGCATTCAATTCGTAGAGGGATTCCTATAAGTTCGTTAGTCATCGTACTAACAAAATATCTACGCCTGCCTTGTTCTCATGATTTTGACGAGACAAGTACTTATAAAAAAGAGCAGTGCGTTCGTATGATTGCAAATTATTGTTTTTATTCATCAAAACCATAATGAAAAACTATGGTCAATGTCATGGTCACAAGGACTTGAAGTCCAAAGCATGCTGAACTTCAAGCCCATAATGCAATTTTAAATTGATTAACGCCTTTTTGACTTTTGTGGAACTTCTTGAGTTGAATAACACAACTCGGTGATTACTAATGTCAGCTTTGTAAATGTCCTGTGCACATGATCACGTGCATTACGCCATTGAAAGTGACTAAATTTGGGTAGTGGTGATGGTGGGGGGAGGGGGGTTGAGGGGGCTGGTTGAGGGCTATCCAGCACAAAGTTATATATTAGAAAAGAACGAATGAAATGACGGCACAGAATAAGGACGACTTAAAATTAGAAGAAATTCTAATGGTCACGGTTTTATTAATCGATAAAAGATAGCATTTTTAGGATGGGTGGGAAGGGGGTAATTGATGCCCTCGTGATTTGATTGCCACGACACTTCTTATATTCCAAGTACTGAAACAAAAGTGCTCATTATCGGGCACCCATTTGTGATCAGATTCAGCTAACAACATTCAAATGAGTGCCTATTCTCTTACTTAACAAAAATATTAATGCAGACAGATTATCACAATTGCTCCTTTAACAACGTAAAAACATCAAGATGGAGCTTCAAAAACGCAACAGAAAAAATGCTTGTCACTTAATCAGGAGTTGAGAGAAATGCTGACACATCTTTACTTTATCTTCATTTAATTCATTCCA